GATCTTATTTTCATCCCTAAAATTTATTAACTGGTATAATTCTATAGAATTTCATCTGTATTCCTTATTATTACACTGTAACGCTATAATTTAATATACTTTAATACGTTAAAATTCTCACAAATCCCCTAAAAACTCCCTAAAAATTATTCTATTTTTTTCTACTATAATGTTCTGAAATTTACTTTATTCTTCCACCGTAACCATTAAATTTTATCTCACTTTATTGCAGTAATGCAATAAAATTATCCTCAATTTTACAATGTAACGCCCTAAAAATTCTATCTGCGTTACGTTTAATACTCATTATCTATGCTTGAATAATATTAAAATAATAATAATAATAATAATAATAAAAAGGATACAGAGTAGGCAAGTAGTATCGATTGTTTTGCAGAAACTATGATCGGTTCAATAGGTCTATATATCGAACAGAGTCAAAATGACATGTTACGTAACAAAACTGCACTGTCCCATGGAAAAAAAAAAAAACTAGAGTAACGTAATCAATAAGAAGTGTTGATGACTTGATATAAGTAGATGACATATAAATATATACTATCCTATATATATATATATGGCTCTATTTATAGTCCTTTCAACTACATTCTCTCTTCATTAAGGATTTCATTAGAGTTTAACTACAGCTTATCCTTTAGGATCTTCGTATCCATAATCCTTTCGGTATACACGATCCTTTCGTTAGAAAACTGTACATTTATAGTCCTTATACAAGGAAACTCGAAACATAAGAGGCTTTTATTAACGAATTCCATTGCACATTGTACTTTCATTAAAGAGTTATAGACTCATATTTAGTCCATTGGTTAAAGTTTCTCATGTGTATTTATACAGTATATAATCCTTTCATTTATATATATATATATATATATAGTGATATTGTAGGAGAGAAAGAAGTCGGACATGTGTTTTTGAAAGGCACTACCTCGAACCAAGAGCAGTTCTAACTTTAACAGGAGTTAATAATTGAGATCTCGCGTGTCCTACTACAAATCGTACCTGTGGTAGATAATCACGCAATATAATGTTGCCTACTTGCTTTTCTAAAGTCTTATATTTCTTTCAACACGAAATTTTACGACTTTATTTAAAAAAAAAAATAAATAAATAAATAAAACAAAAATATATTCTTAATTTTCCATTTAAAAAAGAAAGAAAAAAAAAATTATATTTTTATATAAAGTTATTTAAAAAGTAATTAACATAGATTTGAATGTAAATTTTTCTACAATTTTATTTATTATAAAAGAAAGATAAATTAAGTTAATTCTTTAATTAAAATATATAAATATATATAAGGAAATAAATTCAATTGCACATGTGAATTTTTTTTTTTTTTGTAAAATT